GTCGAAGCCATATCATAAAGCGTGGGGTTAATTACTGTCCTCGGGGGAACGGAGAATACCTGGATAACGTGCTCGGTTGATAGTTTCGTTCTTTTCATCGTTGTGTCGACCGTTTCGATGCCCGGTGACTTTGACTGCGTTCCTGCTACATTGGGAATTCTGGTTCAAGGGGTTACGATGTGAACTGATAAAAGTGTAGAACCGATCAGATACAATCACGTTTGATTTGTGGATGGAATAGAAATGGTACATAGAAAGGTTAAACTATCTTTCTATTAAAATTGAGAACTCTGGTTCTGGGGGTCACGGTGTGAACCGATGAAAGCACAGAACTGATCAGACCTAATCACATTTGTTTTGTGGATGAATGGAAACGGTACATAGAAAAGTTAGACTATCTTCCTAATTTCTCAATTTTCTCACGTGTGCAATAATACATCGCGCAATTTTGTGCTCATTTCGAATGATACTTTTGATAGATGCAAAGCAAAGAAAGTGGACTCTTTGAATCGTTCGACCAGTTCTGTTCTATCCGAAACAACAGAGACGACTCGTGACAGTAAACGTAGTGGATCTTTCACTTTGACAGTGGTAAATATTTACAATAACAAAATTAACCAATGAAGCTTTGAGAACGCACTCAAAGCCCACCGGCTCCATTATCGCGATCAAATTCATTTGCGACGGCAAGTCAGCGACATCCATCAGCTCCACGAGGCAAACAGACCAGGGGAACAAAGAAACGTCGCTGTGAATCCCGGAAAACGAAAAAATCCGTTTTCTCTCTCTCTCTCTCTCTCTCTCTCTCTCTCTGTATAGAGCGCACCTAGCCAGGAGCCTGCGCGTCGTCTCCGTTTTTTAATTTCTTTCGTCTCATCCGAAGACGCGTGCGCGATCCAACAGGGAGAGGGACGAGAGCCATAGACGGAGAAAAAAACTTGTACCTATTTGTATGAAGCATATACGCACGTTACGTTGTACAATATAAATAGTTTGTTACGCAATACGCCATTTATATACTCTATGATACTGTTATCACTTATTCCTTATCGATATTCGGATATATTGCCATAGCGCGCGTGTATCGCCGCGAAATAATAGTTCTCGATCGGTATCGAAACGACGATTTATCGTGGGATCGACTGTGAATCGCGAAGATGCATCGTCAGCTGACAATTTCGTTCGCTGATTGTGAATGAAAGTGAAATAAATTCAACCGACAACCAGCGAAGACTTTCGATCCGACTTCAGCTAGTTTATGCGCAGATTTACGTTGCATCTTTGCACGATCGTTCCCGAAACCGGTACGATCGGTTTGTAGCGCTGGAAACCGCGTCATACGGGCATATTAACGTGTTGCATTTATGTATTTGTTCCTGAACATTTTAATCGTAATGTTAACTACTGTACTGTTACTATGTATAACTTGTATCGTCTGTCGTGAACATACGGCGTTGCGGGATGAGAGTCTGAGTGAGGCTGTATATTATTACATAATTTCTTGAAGTAGACTCACCTTTATTTTATATTAAAAATAACACGTTAGACATGGAAGTTATTAATTTCAAGTGAACAGATTAGAAAGTCGATGAGAAACATAGTGATCTGGCGTTAATACGAGTGTCGCAGTAGAGATTTCAACGCCTGGTAAAACCGTGTCATTACCGATCCTCGAGACTCCAGTCTATTGAAATTTTAATCAGTTTCACCGTCGAGTGTTTGTTTATAATTTTTTCTACTATTCTTTTTCAGTAAGTTATTTTTGTATTAATAATCTAATAGAACGAAATATTAGTATTTGCACAGTACGGTTAATTAGCTGACACACGCTCTCGATCCCGAACGCCACAGAAATATCAGTAGCTCGTAGCATATCAAGGATTCCGAAGGGAAAGGTACCAAAAGCATTTATATGTATATGTAATATCGTAAGCGTAAGTTTTACTCGAGTTCATGTCGAACGGAAAGAATCCACGGGAACCGTAGGAAGGGACAAATCCTTCTTTCATCTTATCGTTTCAGTCACAGTAAATGACAGTGCCTTATTAGACGCCCTTCGAAAGTGTCGGGGAAAGAGACGTAGCGGACGATAGCAGAACGAACAATTTCCGGCTGTTTAACGAGGAGTGTAGAAACATTTCGGGACGTAGACGAATCGCTGAAGATCGAGGACGAATTCCTCCCGTTCGGATTTCTTTTGTTTTTCACTGAATATTAAATGTTCAAATCAAACAAGTTCGCGATTGGCAATTCTAGGGGTCGCTTCGAATGAGAAAAATTGTTTTTGAAATATAATGTAACGAGTATACCTATATTCGTCAGTTGCATATGTTCCTTTAGATATTGGAATATATTTCTTTTTGAATGCATCGATCTTCTTATTAAATCGAGAAATCACAAATTAATGACTAAAGGACAATTATTAAGCATAATAATAATTATTCGAAAATAGTCACCAGCGCGCCGTCAATCGTGAAAGTGTTAAAACTTCGGAATCATGACAATCGTGGGTACCGTTTTAAGGGAAAACGAAGCATATCAATGGTAACGTCAGACGTGACTCTATTTTATAACGTTTCGAACGACAATGTACTTGAATTCGCACGGAGGAATCGTGAATTCGATCGAAACGGTGAAACGAAATATATTGAGTACTCTTCTCCTCCGTACTCCTCTAGATCTGACCAAACTAGATATTACACGATTCGAACGGATATGTTGTAACGTAGCGACACGACTATCTAGTGAGTGTATAAATAGTTTACATAGTTTACGAGCCTAGATGTCCTACTGATCGCGTGTCGGCCGTGTGATCGGCCCCCTCCGAGAACACGCGAGGTACACCGCGGTGGAATCGTCAGTTCAGTAGATTCTCTCTATTCTATAGTAAATAATTTATATTTCTACCGTGTGATTTTAAGTCTGTACAATGACCCCCTACCACAACCACTTACTACTACACTAGAGATGTATATAATTCTCGCTATCACGTACTAATCGCTTACGGAACATATCTTAACGAGGGCATCGAGACACCTCCTCGTGGAGACTTCGACGTCCGCACAGGTGATCGTGATGGTTCGTTCGATGGATTTTGTCCTCGTCTTTCGGGAATCTGTCGCCTCTGATAAAAATTATTTTACCGAGATCCGGCTCAGGTCGATGGGAAAAATTGATGTAGAAAATTAAATCGTATTTTGTGCAATTATTAACGTGATGACAACTATGTTTCTCGTTTATTATATACAAAATAATCCAGACAACTAAAAATATTATTCAATTTTTTTAATATATCTTCTCGAATGAAATACACACGATAAAGTACAGACAAATTTATTTATCAACTTGAAATACTAATTCCTTCTATTATTATAGTTTGTTCTAGTATTAATTTTCTTCTAATAAGTTGTTTAATAATTGTACACTCAAATCGGTTGAATATCTTCTGTCAGAGGCAGTGCAATGCGGAATTAATCTGAACAAATAGATCAGATTTCAGGATATTGTAGTAAAAATTGTATCGAATGGAAGTGTTTATCTTCCCGTGCTATTTTCATCGGTTTCTCAAGTTCTTAAGGATATTCTAATGGTAAAACAGTCAGAACACTTAAGGATTAGATACCATGAATTTCGATGTGCTATGTAAATAGAAATTTCTATGGCATAAATAGTTCTAACAAGGATCCTTAATTAGCACAAGAATACCCACTTCGAATTTCATCGTTAGTTTTAACCTATTAACCAGGGAAGACGAGTTAACTCGTCAATTATATTCAACTGTATCTTCTGATGATTTTTAGTATTCCTATTTATTTACCTAAAGATTTCTACATTTGTTGCATTCCAATATCTAGAGTAACGTAAATTATACTATACATATAACTTCAAGCAAATCACTCTAAATCATTATTTCTCTTTAATTGTCTCCACATGGACATTTGTCATTGAAGAAACATTCGGTTAACAGGTTAAACGATATTTCGATGTAAATTGCAGGGTAAATTTTTGGAGCCTAAGTTTTCTTTGATTCCCGTAGGCTAAGACCAGGTAACAATATGGAACAGACCTCGCGTACAATCGATAGAAAGTTATTCAGAACTTCTGTTCTCATTTTCAGTACACACTTCGAAAGTTTCTACTTTTCTAAATCCTCTAGAGAGGACATTAAAACCGATATTTATACAAACGAGGCTCACGATCACCGTTACGAACGTCAAAAATCAAAGGTTCAAGCGTTTCACGAGAAATAGAATTGCCAAAAAAAAAGAGAGAGGAGGAACTATAAATTTAATCACTTATTCGTCTCTCCAGTGTATTATCTATTACGTGCATAGATCATCGCGACAGTGCTAAAGATTTTAGTGAGTGTATTTGTAACTGTAAGTATCTTAAGTAACGATTAATATAATATAATATAATATAATATATATACATAATTATAAAATAAAGGTAGACATAAAGGAATGCCACTATACAAACAATGTATGGACAATAATAATATATAAGATCCTTAAATATATGGTTAAACAATCATCATGATTATTCTTTGGAGAAGGAAATTTGGATAGTCGAGCCTCCTAGAAACCAAATTAATCTACTGCACTTCTTTAACCAATTTTTATTCCAGTAATTTCAATATTACACATCTCGTAATCTTAAATAATTAACTACGGTATATTTGTTAGTGCCTATAACCCAGGGTAAATTAAAAAAAAGACAATTTCTATTATACATTCGATTTCCTACACTTTCTATTAATATCGAGTAGATCAGTTTCATTTCTTAGAAGTTCATTCAGTGAGATCCTTAAAACAATTCGTTTATTAATGCTACAATTTTCCTAACATTTTCTAACATTTTACATTACACTTATCTTAATCTTTGTACAGTTTCTTTCCCAAAACATAGATGTATCACGAGGAATGAATGGCTTAATGTTCCAAGAGTTAAACATAATCGATCAATGAAACGCATTATTTCGTTTCAATTTAAGTATTCGATCACATAAGAGTCCGTCGACGCTCATCGTACGAAGAATTACGCAAGAGATACCGTTTGTGCTGTTCCTCGATATCCATCGCTCTCTGGATCCTCTGGGTCGCGATCCTTTCGATTTTCGCGAACAGTTCCGAGTGTACGGCGACGGATTTCCGAAAGTCCTTCCGATCCAGACGGTATACCTCGCACACCTCGATCGCGATCACGCTGGCGACTCGTCTCTGATCGGGCACCAATAACGCCACCTCGCCAAAATGAGCTCCGTCGTCCAAGTGACAGATCTATAGATCATTCTCGATTCCTCTGTTTCCCTTTTCAATTTCTTAATTACAATTCAGGTTCTGTTTCCGTTTCGTTTCAAGAAAAACACAACAAAAAAATGCATTTCTCTCTGTTTCTACAGTACGTTTGTCTTATAAACGACTGGGAATCTTTTCCAAATGGTTCAAACATACCATCAATCTTTCCAATGTTTCACTGGAAATTCCTAAGGAACTGTCCTTTTATTGACAAAATCGGTATTTAAACATTGCGTCAGTGTTTTCGAGGTTCAAATCGAATTACCTCTTTATTGAAAAAATTTGGTATTCAAAAATTACGCCAGTGTCTTCGATATTTAACTCGGAATTCTCCAAGAATTATTTCTTTATTGAAAAATATGAATTTAAAAACTGTACGAGTGTTTTCGACGCTCGACTCGAAATTCAATTACCTCTTTATTGAGCAATCAAAATTCAAAATTGTATCAATGTTTTCAAGGTTCAACTCGAGATTTTGGAGGACTTACCTCTTTCCCAGTGGGCGCCAGCCTTCACGATCACGTCATTGGGCAAGTACAGCTCGAACTTCAGATTCTTCACGATCGATCGTAAGATGTACTTCGGCAACGTCTTGAAAATCGCCACGTTCTCGACCAACCGATGATTCGATTGGAACGCGATCTCCTGACGAAGTTGCTCTGGAATTACACTCTTTTTTAGACTCTGTGATTCTCCATCGACAACACAGAAATCGAGATTATCTGTCCCACCTGATAGATTCACCAGAATCGTCTTTTCTCGGAAGTAGCTGTATCTGAAACGGTGCTGATAGTAAGTCAGAAGACGATTCTTCATGTGCGGCGGCAGCTGTTTCTGTATCGTGTAAGCGATCACTTGGTTCATGATCTCGTGGAACTTCGATTTCGACTGTTTCGCGCCAGCTTTTATTTGAATCAACATTACTGGAACGAAATACAATTTTCTCACCGAATTACTAAATTATTGATGGCTCCTCTGATATACAAAATTATCTAATTTTTGCAGACTGGTTGGTAAACGTCTCTGATTGTTGAATCAATTGAATGCATAACTTGGCAATAGTAGACTTCATCTGGACTGTTAATAATCTTCAGGAAGGAAAAGTGAAAAAAAAGGAATATGGTCAGAAATGATGAAAGATGTATCAAAATATGTAGTAGACTAAGGAAGTATAGTCAGACACGTTTATGTATGAGATGGAAGTAGAATAAACAGAATATGGTCAGTCCTGATGAAGCGTATGTAGGAGAAAGGCGAAGTAGAATGATCTCGCGTCTGATCGGACAACCCAGAACAGCACATAAACAAGTGAAAATGTAGTTCTTGTACTATGTATTATAAAACATATCCATGTACAGTAACGAAACACTTTTCAATACGGATTGAATATATATTCTAATAGAGTATTAAAAGCTGTATAAAATGTTACTGTTGAATTTGTAGAAGTGGTGTAACAATTTTGAAAAAGTATTTAAATATAAAATTCTGTTCAAAGATTCACCTACGATGTAACAATCGAGTAGCCTGCCCGCCAACATGAGAACACTACTCAGTATAAGGTGTCCCTCCGATGTCGATTGCTCCATCCCGAAGCCATTCGCTGAAAATTTCTCGACAACCATGAACAACGAGTGCAGGAACCTGAACCGTATACTCTTCTGCTCTAATCCTGTTATCCGGGAGCTCTGTGAACGTTATATAACAGAAAAGAAAGCTTTAGCATTTTCAAATCATCTTTTTCAACCTTCGAATCAATCTGGCTCGAATCGAATGTATTATTTTGTAAGGATTCTTTGGATTATTAAATTTAATGTGCGTTACTCACACGTACACGTCATAATCTAGTTATAGATTGTCGTATTTGGAATTAATCAAACGTTAGTTAAAAAGTACAGATAAGATAATTGTTAATCTTTCACTCATAATGTTAATCGTTAATACCACGTTTGGCGATACATGGAAATTTGTGGATTCACCGATGACGTACTTCAGGTGCGATGCCAGTCATATGGACGAACAAAGCAGGTATCAAATAGCTCAGACAGGAGAACCAGAACAATATGTAGAAGGCCAACATCAACGTGCTGAACAATTCGTAATACAAATGCATCACTTGGAGATACTAAAACGTGACGTGTATATGTAGGTCATCATAAATTCTTCTTCTATAAATTAAAGTCTACATTTACGTTAACCCTTTAACGCACAATGTTGCATCGGTGCAACACTCATTTCAAAACTGCGTCAAATTCTGCCGGTAGTAATTATCTAACTATTGTCAGCAAGTATCTGTAGTTTCATCGATGTGAAATAGATCTCCACGTTCTGAGTTGAGAAATTCAAGTGTTCCCTTCAAAAATAAATAAAAAAGAAAAAAATGAAGAAAGATTAGATCTGCTTAATATCGATTGTTCTTTGTTGTTTTCGACTCCAAAATAACAAGATATAACATATATGTAAGTCTCATAATTTTCAAATAACGATTTAAGGGTCTGGGCGTTACAGGGTTAACGACGTGATCGTATAAAACAGAATTATCTACTAGCATATAAACATGTTGTCGAATTCGTTAGCTTTCAAATATGTGATTTTACCATGAAAAAATCGAAAAATTGCCTGTTCACGTAGCGATAGCGCGATAGTTTCAGAAGAGGTAGCAGGTTCACCAGAACGACCGCTCGTTCGACTTTCACGCCAGGAACACAACGCCACGGCAGCGTGATGTGGTCCCACGGCAACGAGGAAAGAATGTCCGGGATTAAAAATGTCTTCAGATATTGTCTGAACGATATTATTGTCGAGATTGTGGATAAAACGTTGACGGAAAACGACTCTTAACGAAAAGGTAATAAATTTAAATCGCCTCACATCATTATCTTCCCAGGCTGCAATTCGACGTTCGCCAGTTTCCTATCGTAATATCCGGTGTTGCAGTTTATAATTATGTCCACCCAGCAGAAAACGTAAATTACGATATTGACTTTATCCATGAGAATATCGTCGTGGCTCAGCACCACGTAGCTGATTAAGAACGGGATCGTTAGAAAAGAAATCATGAACACGACCGTCATGACTATCTCCCAATAGAAGCTGAAAATTTATTCGAACAAGACGAACATACTATTTTATCGTCGTTTTCGTGCATGAAAATTTGTGAGTTCAGTATAAAGATTTTAATCTTTTAGCACACGAGGTTGGTTTAAATACTGGAAACTAGTAATTCGAAGCTTCTTTCATCAATAAGGAATTAGAATCTCGACGAAATCTTTTGACATAAACATAAAACAATAATATACATTTTTTTCAAAGTTTCAATGTTCAATATATTTTCTTTTACTTTTAATTTTAGTATGTGTATGTGGAAATATAATATTTAAATTTCATGCCTTGTAATTATTATTGCTTTCATATTATGGATATCAATTCGTTTGCATGGTCGATAGAGTATTGAATGAATTATAAAAAGAATCGACTACCTCCACCTGCTAAAAGGATGAATGATCCACCAATACTGGAATCCAGACGGCCTCCTTCCCTCTGCGAACGCAGCCGCGACACTGTCCAAATACAGTCTCGATTTCGGTGTGTTCATACTTATATTGAACATACACTTAAATCTTTCCCCAAACGTATATTTCTTCACTTTCTTCATCGAGTAGGACACTCGTAACCTCTCCGTATATTTCGGCAGCTCGCAATTGTGATCAGACATGATTGGCGCTACTCTTTCTCCCTTAACCTTTATTTAAACACGAATTAAATGAAATGATCAAGGACACGAAACTCTAACACTACCCTCGAGTGACATTAATGACATTAATGAGACGAAACTAGCGACCACGAAAATACGTACGATTTCTTCTTACCTTCGATAAAAGTATCTTCTTCTGTCGATTTTAATTAATAATCGTTAGAACCATTTACAGATATAATTGATTTATCATCTGAAGTCAGCGAAAAGAATCGAAGTTTGGCGGAAAATTGACAGGGGATAAGTGAACGCTATAGAGGGTATAGCGAACTATCATTTATTTAAAAAATTCTCGATGACGAAAAAATATATCAAATCGCTTCCAGTCATTAATGATACCATGAACGAATGAACCAAGGTGTGTATGTACAACGTGCGTTCTATTATTTACAGTGCTTGTTGCGATTGGTTAGGTGGCGAATCTCTGGAATTTCGAACGAAAACGCGATCGTTTGTGCGTTATACAAGATCACATTACTGACGTTCGTTAATTGACAAATTAGAACGTGTAAAGAAGTTTTCATGGGTGTGTGCTGTCGTGAACTGGAATCAGGAATAAGGAAATCATTGTTTCGACCCTCCAACTGGTTTTAATCGTGTTACTCAATACATTCTGGGATTCTGGAAGTATTTAGTCGCTTCGGATCATGAAAATTCAATAGTAAAAGTGCCAAAATATGGTTAACATGCATCCTATGGCGTATAAAATTGAGCTGTGTATCGTATAAAAGCTTTCTAAATTGTAAAGTAAGCCTGGATATCTGGGATCTCCTGAACGTCTAGATCCCTAACTGCTCTTTCGTATTAGAAATTTCATTGTTTTTTTTTTTGAAATTCCAAACATCATTGAACGTTAATTTTCGAGCTAATATTAAATTCTTCCTCGGGTGACTAAGTTTTAACCATCGTTGGAACACTGAACTTTTCTAATACATTGAACGTTTAAACTGTCTAGGAACCATTTCGTTAAAAGCATGCTTTGTTGATATAGAAAATAAAAAAATTTCTGTTATTATCGTTTCTGTATCGTACGGACGAAAAATGAGGAGAATCTCATTTTTATCCAGTTAGGGGGTGAAAAAAAAAAGCGTACCTAGAAAATTGTCCCCGTTAAAAATATAAAACTACCCACTTAATTTAACCTCAACTATCAGTCTTCCCGGATATTCCTGTTTGTCGTTTAAATATACTCTCTAATCGAGTAAAAAAATACGACCCTTGGATACGAAGTGTTTTCTCTCCGTCGAGTCACGATCGTAGAAGAATCGAAATAACATGGACCATTAGAACCTATTTTACTATTATTTCCTTTATAATTGTAAACGTAGAATTTGTTGAATTAATTTTCATATTGCGATGATCGGTAAAATTATTATAACTTCGAAAAATGAATTATAACAATTGACACTTTGATTCATCTGTGTTTGAATGTGTACAATTATAAATAGAATGCGAATATTCAAGGAAATGTATATTTCCATGGGATCCATGTCACAATGATTCTTCTACGAAATGTTCTCGTCTATGAAATCTTTGCGCTGCTACAAAATCCCACTAACCGATCGACGATTATATTTTCCCATGGCGTTACAATGACTTTCTCGTTACGTCTACTAGTACAAACATCGAATTGTATTGATATTTAACAATCACGCTATCTTGGCCAGGAGAATTCTTCTGCCGTATGCATAAACATGTACGTGTATGAATAATAGGTGCGACGTTCTTTTCGCATTCAGAACCAATCGAAGCGAACAATCTCTGTCATTTTGTCATTCGTGAAGCGACGTTTCAGATAATTCCTTGTATAATACGACGAAGAAATATTCTAATAACATCTTGTATTACGTTACTAACAATGAAATATTTTGATAATTATCGAGAACATAACTTTCATTGAAATTAGTAACAATACTCGTAAGAAGTAGTTTACCGAAACTGAACTTCAATTAGATATAGTAATTTCTGAAGACAGAATAATGTAACGAATGTTGGAAATTTCATTTTGTTTCGATAATAACAGCAGTAATTGTAAATAATATTTAGTAATAATTGTTTTCGTTTGAAGTCACCGTATTATACAAGAATTACATTATTACGATTAACAGTTTCAATAAGTGTTTCGATACACCGTTGACCTCTTGAATCCATGAATTATTACATCACTCTATGCATTTACTTAACAAGGGACTCGGGGACACATCAAACGCACTGACAGTCCGATCATTGTCGCCAAGTCCGGCAGGTATTCAATTTTGTAAAACCCGGTCCAACAAGGTTTTTCTAATATCATAATTAGTTATTATTACTAGGCACTACTCCACTGTCAAATCGAGTTCTCCGGTTCCACTAACGTTCCGCTAGGGAGAAATATGTTAAATCGGGGATACTTCTCCTACAAGTTTATTTTTTAACCCGTTAACTGCCAACGACTTCTTACCCTTTATCCCACAAACTGAACCATTCAGAAAAGACGTATAATAATTATCAGGAAGCAGATTGTAACAATTTTCAATTTTTTTCTCTAAACTTACTTTTTCTTTTATATAGTTATTCTTAAACGATTTTAAAGTCGTTTATTAATTTATCGTTAATACAAAAAATCCTTAAATTCACAGATTAATTAAACATAAGCAATGTAAGTCTGGCAGTGAATGGATTAAATAATAATGTATTATTAGTTTGGTGGAAAATTAATAGCCATTCTTAATTTTTCCTGGTTGTCATTGCTGCTGTTGTAATATTTAAACATATTCAATCTTTGCAATCGATTTTTAATTGAAGTATGCAAAATTGATGGTATATCAACTGAAATAAGTACACTAACTTTTGATCCGATGAGAATGTCACTTTTAACGTAAATTAACCCTCACAAGTGCATTTGGGAATAAATAGAGTAAATCACAGTCAAGCAAAAACTTCAGTAAAGACCGACGATATTTTCATTTTGGGATTCAATAGAAACTTCAAATCAAATCTATCCAATTCACTCCCACTCGGCCATTCGCGTATTTTCCACCAACCCAATAATTCCAATTCATAGAGAACGCTCTTCAACGTACAAAATCGTTACAAAATCGCCTAGAGACCTTGCATCGGTTCTACTTGGTTCGTATATTACAGCACGGATTAAGTGACTGCGATCCTAAAAGATAAGCCCTCGAGTTCACATGAAAATACGCCTCCAAAAAACGCCCGATCGTGTATATGATCATCCGTGAACCCCTTCCAGGCGCGTCCTAAGAACACAGTCGCGAGACACTATATTTCGTTCAACGAGTCGAGTCAGCTCCAAACATTATCAACCAGCTTTAGAGTCGTGTACGAAAAATCTCCAAATACGATGATAGACATTCAGGTCGTTCACAGTACAACTACCATTCACTCTCCGTTAATTGTAAGAATATTCACCATTTGCAATATTTTACACCGCATAACCTATGTCAAAAATATAAAACGGTCGGAGTTGACTACCGTTTCTCAACTATTTCATTGAAATCTCCAAATCTGTATTAATACGAAAACGTCAGAGTTGTCTACCATTTCTCAGCTACTCACCAAAGTGTCGAAATCCGTATTAGTACAAAAACGTTAGAGTTGACTACCGTCTCTCAGCCACTGCATCGAAGTCTCCGAAACTCTAGTAATACGAGAACGTCAGAGTTGACTACCGTTTCTCAACCATTTCATCGAAGTCTCCGGAATTTCTAGTAACACAAGACTGTCACAGTTGACATTTCATTGAAGTGTCTGAATCTGTATTCATACGAGAACGTCAGAGTTGACTACCATTTCTTAACCACTCGTCAAAGTCTCCGAATCTGCATTAATACAAGAACGTCAGAGTTGACTATCGTTTCTCAGCCACTCATAAAAGTCTCCGAATCTCTGTCACTCGTCCAAATACATATATATCCACCGACTCGACTCGTTGAATATTTCTGTCGAAACCGTCAACGAAACTCCGTTCAAGTCACCTTGTAACCGTTCTGTTCAGCATATTTTTCTTTTCTTTTCTTTTTGTTTTGATGCGGGTATGTTTCGAGTCGATATTACACGTCGATGCCGAGCAGCTCCCGGCTGTCGGCCCTCGAAAATCGACGACGTAAACTCCGACGACGGAACTCCTTCCATCAGACGGATGCGCGTTTCACGCGAAGGCTGGCGGCGGTCGGCGGTCTGTAGCCCTGGTAACCCTGGTCCAGAAGCTCAGAATTCGCTGGTCTCAGACAGGTGCACGAGCACACGCTCACGCAGTCTTCCGTGTCGTGTATTATCGGCACGTGCCCGGCCAGAATTTTGCCGTTCACCGCCACCACCTCGCCGTCCAGAGTCAGAACGTGGTGGGAGGCCGCCTGGAGCTCGTTATCCTCACGACGAACGTCGCCTGTGTTCCTGTATCATTTACATTTTATATCGTATAATGATTCATTGGAATCAGCAAAGTGAATTTGGAATATACACGTTGTATTACCCCGTCTCTCGGTATGAAATTAAGATGGTGTTAAGAAATTCATATAATCAAGCAATAAATGGTTAAATTTGCTAATTCTTCCAAATAAAAGTCGCACAGCCTCAACTAAATTTACCTATACACGACAGAATAACATAATTTCTTAGGATAATTAGTTAGTTTAGTTAGTTGTATCTCAATATAACATTATCTTTTGCTTAGACGGATTGTGAGTTTTTCGTATTGTTGCAATTTCTACCTGTCAAGTTCTGTTTCGTTTTTCACGGTGGATTAAAAGCAATAATAATTAAAGTATGTAAACTTTAGACTCCAACGTGATAGTACGGGTACTTACATTGTCATGAAACGTAGCACGAGGAGATTTATGCTGGCAGCGACAACGGCCAAGCCGAATAGAATGAAGACTAAACTTAAGGCCACGTATCCAGGCTTATTCGACAACGCGTGATCATTCTGCAACATGTTTAATCAGTGGAAACGCTGTACTATAGAAAAATTTCTAAACAAAATTCAAGCTAGAGCTAAGAGCTTGAATAAACATTTACAATCGTGATCTGATTGAAAGTCCTGAATCGAAGGAAATCAAATTTACCTGAAGAGCGACGTAATCACCGAAACCGATGGTGGTCAGCGTAACGAAGCAGTAATAGAAGCTGTCGAAGTAACTCCATCCCTCGTAACGCGAGAACACGGCCGCCCCGGTCGTTATGATGATGCTCGACAGCATACCGGTCGCGAGCATCAGATTCATCTCGGTCGCTTCCGTTTTCTTGCACCGTAGATAGCTTTTCGCCCGTTTGATCACCACGGACGCGAACTTGTTCAAACGTTCACCGATACTTTGGAACATCACCAGACCCAGAGGAATTCCCACCATAGCGTACGCCATGCAGAACGCTTTTCCACCTATGGTGACGGGCGTCGAATGTCCATAGCCTTGGAACGTAAAAATTATTGTAAAATATACCAATCGATAGGGTATTTTTAATTTTCAATCTGATTCGTTGGATACGTGGGATACGTTGGAAGAATGTTAATTTTTATGATAACTCGCTGAAGTCTCAGCAATTAAAACCTGATGTACTCGAAAAAATAGAAAGTAGATATTTAAGTAAATATTTTAGTAAATATTTAACCTTCATCAGGATAAAATGGAGAAGAGTCTCAGAGGCTATCGGTATAGAATAGTTGATGTTAATAATTCTACTATATTTCATATAGTGACATTAAAATTTTAATTATTTTTATTATATATTATTATTTGTATATATGATTATATTGTTCATCGTGAAATAATAACAGAGCCTTATGTGAAAGAAGGTTAAATAGGGTAATATGATACAGTAAATATACACATTATTAAAATTTACGTATACATAGTTTTCTCGGGGTTCGAAGAATTGAATTTTGAATGTTAAACAAGTACTTTCTGCATAGGAATTGAAGCTTCCATGCGGTATTATTATAGAACAGAACGTTTTTTCCAAGGTTACACCTTCCTATCGATTATATGGGGTATATTTAATTCTTGTTGGATGTAGCAGAGATTTAAAATATAACTTCCTTTTCTTCGACAAGTCAGAATTTTAATTCGACATTCAAGCATTCAGCTTACCTATCATAGCCAGCACAAGCGTCGCGAAATAGAAGGCACCCGCGAATTTCCACTGTGGGCCCGCTTTGTGAGGTTTGTTCTCTATTATGACGATCTCTAACATCCTGTAATCCTCCTGTGTGATGTTGTACTTCTTCATCATATTCCGGCGAACCTCTGCATCAACGATCGTTCGTTAAACAGCAGTAAAAAAAATTACATAAATCCTCACTAATACAATTTCCTTACTTGCAGAAGCATAATAAAAATGATTTTAATTAAATTTCAATGTCATTTATGTATTATCATTAACATATGGAAGTCTGTAGTACAGGAAATAAAATTCTGTCTACTTTATGTATATGTACTACTGTCTAAAATTTGTCGTTCGCATAAACTTTCGATCGTATCGGATCATTCTATTACATGGATCTACGGATCCACATCGATTCCGAAAGTATCCACTCACCAGAGAGAAACTCCCAGCGTTTCCTCTCCGTGTTCGACTCGAGCGCGTCGAACACCGCCGCCCCTATCAGCAGATACGTGAACGTGCACACGACCAGCGACAGGGTTCTGACATTCTGCCTCTTCATTTTGCCACGGCCCCGTCGTCTGTCAACGGCAGAGGCGAGTGTGTCCTGTCGAACCACGGGGGTGGTATTCCGATGACTTGCCGCGCCGTCACTCGCGCAAAACCTTCCAAGTCGGAAGGATAGAGAGAGAGAAAATCGTCGTCGTCGTCGGTTTTATTTACCACGTACACACCAGCACGGTAACTGTGTCGCGGCCTCCGTGTTCCTCCGCGTTCATGTCACTGCCAGCCGTAACGTAGCCGGGAGCCTGACATTTTTCGGGTGTTCCTCGAGCACGACGCTATCGATCCCACCGCGAGAACATGTTCACTGGGGGAAAACGCCCCGTTGTCAGGAGAGCACCTACGACGTGTGAGAAGAAGCGTGCACACGATTCCACCGGAGGCGCCAGGCCAACCACCACGCCGCCAACGACGACTGCTCGTGGATTGTGAAGTATTGATCAGACGTCAGCGCCAGGATAAGCTCCATGGAGACGGGAGAGACAGTGGTCGAGGGTGAAAACAAGCGCCGGCTAATGGTAAGATCGGACGAGGCGTGTTCAGTGGATATGGGTCGGTCACTGATCAGGCAGGGTGGATTGGTATAGTGGTATAGAGTTATTGATCCGATGTCAGCGCCATAGTATGGTCTATAAGGGGATGAAAGAGAGTGATTTTGGTGGAGAAACAAGCCCGGCTAATGGTAAGATCGAACGGTGTGTTGTTCAGTAGTATGGGTCGGTCACTGGTCAGACAGGGCGGATCGGTACGGTCGGTGAAGGAGTACAGAACGAATATCGATAGATACATCGTTGTGATGTAGTCGTAATGACTAGATTGTGGATTTTATATATTTATCGTAAATGTGAATATGTAGAACATAACGGAGTAAAAATTTCCGGTGGTGATTCGCTTGTAGCTTGGGTGTTTTGGTGTAGATGGCACCCTGACCGTTTTTCCCAATATTGGTCTTCGTATTCTATACAGTATCATATTAATTACTTAAGAATTTACATATACAAAATATATTTTAATATTTTATATAGAAATTATAAAAATATAATAAATATTACTATTACCACGCTAGGAATATTAGCTTTATACTATATGTATGGAAAGAATTCTTCACGATTAATCTATAGATCCCACTCGATTTTCGCACATCATTACCATGTCTACAAACGAATAAAATTTCTTTGATGGATCGCAATACTGCCTGCTATTAAAAGTAATTTAACAAATTTAAAAATGTTATCGTAAAAGTAACAGCTTCCAACAACGAATATCCTTCGTCTCACATCAATTTGAAATGAACTAAATCTGTAAATTTTACACCACTACTGTCACCCTATTTGTAGTCAATAATTCGTAAATTGTAAACTGAAGTAACTGATTTTTAAAGTACGAACATTGCACAAGGTATTTCAGATATCCGTCAATAAATACAAATCTCTTGACTACTTAAAATCTCATGCACCACAGTGAAGGACACTAAAGAGCATTGTGTACGGATATCCGCAGGGATCGTGTAACGGATAATGACCAATTCATCAAATTAATCGCCGAAGTGGAGAAATCGATTTCGGCCATGATGACACCGAATTTCCAGATTCGCCAGCGGGCCTGATTGATTATTGGAAAAGCATTAGCAAGTATTGTTGAACTGACCGTCCATACACGATCTCTAGCCACCGTTAATCCCAAAGCTCGCATCGTTATTCCATTGAGAATTTATTTACGACAGACCCGTGAATAGTTACATGGTTAAAGGACGAATATTGATTTTTATAACGGAAAGATAAATCCAGGTCCATTGGGACAGCATGTATAAGGCTCTTACAAAATAATCGCGGGTGCAGCGAACGGGAACTCGAATGGAGGCTCGAAAGAAAGTTTAAGAATAATGCCCTGATAAATTTGTCGCATGCATTCTCGTCCCGTAATTGGGGCCGTTTTGTTCCTTCGAAGATAAAAACAACATGGCGGGCTTGTTCCCTTAACAAAGGAGAAATACTTAAGATCAGCATATATTCGAACGTTGGTTGGTTATGTAAGGATCATGGAGAAAGTTCCATTAGACTTTCTATATTATTGATATTTAAATTTCTTCTTGTGGAACTTCATGAATCTTTTATTATTGAAGGAATTACGCATTCGATAAGGAAATTGAAGTTATAGTTGTAATTTTATAAATTTGTACTGAATTGTTACGATAAACTGTATTTGCACATTCATTTCCTATAATCTCTACGCTATTTAACTGGCGTTAAAGACAATTAACGGCAAGAGTAACGAAATACTTTCGACAAAAATATTCGTCTGAACCTTCGGTTAGGGACACACATTTTAACCCTAGAATGCTTAGATCGTTTCAACGCAAACATTTAGTTTGCAAGAGACTACTTTATTATAATAGCTACATTATACTGTTAATTAATATATTATATATTATATATTATATATTATATATAATTCCTCTAATTGGACATTCAACCAAGTCACTTGATGCAAGACAATACAGTGTCCATCAATGTTACAATGATTTCAACATGTAAACTTCAAAGTTTCTTACATAGTCAGCATTTGTGAAGTAATTCACGTGTTAGATCATAATTCATATGGAATTAATAATGCATCGACCGTTCGAAAATTTTGATTAGAGGACATTGGTCGATTGTTAGAGAACTCTGATCGATTTTTCGAGAATTTTCACCGTACGTTAGAGAATTCTAACGATTTGTTAAAGAACATCGATCGACTAAACGTCCTGGATTCATCGTGCAACGACTCTGGCACGTTCGGCCGTTTTATCGCACGGTTTCAAGTCCCAGAGGTGGACGTTTACGAGGAGTAGTTACCCACTGCTGCTGGCGGAAACAGAAGGTTGGCTCCCGTGATGACTGACCTTTCATACATATATCGTTAACCGTGGCACCATACACACAAGAAATCTATACAACCGAAAAATACGGCAGAGCGTTACGGTGCCCCTAGTCTGGAACCGTCATTTCTGTCGAGCACCTTCCGTACATTTGAAAAATTTACGCTCTGCTCTTTTATTGGAAAAAGTCAAACCGGGAGCCAGAATTCGGTTCAAGGCGCGACGAAGGCGCACTTTGCTTGAACGAATGTACATATATATGGGGGGAATAAAAAATAAGGAGGTCGTTTCTACGCCACTCGCATTCGTAAAGTAACAGAGTCAGCTAGTTGAATATTCTCGACAATGTGTTCGCTGGTGATTTCCAATTTGTTTGACCATCTTTTCTGTCACAGTGTTTCCATACTATGCATATTGTGAAACTAGGTAAACGGGATGTAGAAAGTCTATTGTCGGAAGATTATGAATTTTATGCACTTACAGCATATTAAAACACACGAAGTGGAATGTAATAGGCCATTGGAACATGTTTCATAATGTTTCTCTTTCAACTTTTCTGTTTGACTCCCATTCTCAAATATGAATCCATACAAACTTGAATATACAGAAGCATAACATGAAGTTATAGTAATTGAAAATGATAAAAAGTTAGTAATAAACGTTTTTTAAATGTATCAGTGTCGTATTGAAACTTGGAGAAAAGGTATCGATAATATCGATACGGGTATCAGTCACATCACTATCTACATACCATCCCAGATAGATGATTCCGTTCGAGCGGGCCGTGTCGATAACGAACAACGGCCTATATCGCGAATAACGGCGTGGCTGGTCGAGACGGCTAGAAAATTACCGTAGGTTCCCGCCCGCCGTTATACGTGTGTCACTTTATTTGTCAGCAGGGAAAATCGCGCTCGCCCGTACGATCGTGCGTCAGAATTCGCCTTGAAAGCGATACGCTCCGAATACGCCGTTACAACGTCATTTACGATCCTTCTTTAACGCCCTCCCGCCGCCGTCGGCTCGCCCTATCGTTTTTTTTCTTTGTTAATTAAAGTAAATTGTGGAAAGCAGACGACGACGACGACGACGAGGACGACTGTCCTCGGGCGTCCTACTAATTGGCGCGGAGGCGAGGATAATTAAAATTCGATGCGCGTACTAAGCGTTAAACGATCCGGCCAATCTACCTGTAGGATCGATATTCGATTTTCTGCTCGATTCTATTCGCCAGATGTGCTGTATAGCGTGGAAATATATTGGAAAATATAGTGACTTGTGAATTTGTTCACGAGAAACAGTCTCACGTTTGGTTGATCGAATTACAGTACCAAACGGCAACTTTTACTTCAAAATTTAAGTCAAATTTATCAGAAAAGGATGATTAAAAAAGGTTCTGAAAATACATAAATGGGATTGCAGAGAAATCATTACAATTGATTTTTGTTTCGAAACCGTGGGAACGAATGTGTCAGTGTAAATCTAATTATCCGAGCCGGTGAAAAAATTGTGTAAGTCATGTGGAAGTGGAAGAGTTATTTTTCCCAATTAATCGTAACTACATTGTACATACTGGCTGCTAAAAAAAATTCACAGAGTTTCGAGTCGAGAAGGGCAAAGCAGGAATTGAATACTGCAACAGGACCTACACGAGGATTTTTATTATTATTGAAGAGCAACGTGACGACGATTCGTTGAAGTTGTTAAAAATGTCCTTCGACAAGAGACTCCGGATAGTCACAATAGAAAAAGCGTCAAGGTGTAATCCGTTCTTTCGACGGATCGTTGAATAAGAGATTTAATAAGATATCGGCACAGCAGCGGCCCAGTCGTTGTCGAAGCGGAAGAAATGCAACTGTTAACGGTAACAATCCACGTCGAATAAAACGATCGTGAAAATAAGTCTGCCCTCGAAGAAAAGCGGGGTCCTTGAGGAGACGCTGACGAACATCACGTCGTTGAAAGACGTGATCGCGATCTCCTTATCGTTCGACAAGTTCCCGGAGAGTCTCCTGCAAACAGACAGAACACGATGCAAAAGAAAAACGAACGTAAACTGCAACAGTAACTGTAATTCCGCCGGGAAATGCCGGGAAATTAATAATTCCAGTGCCTCTGACGGGGTCGAGTGATTCGTGCAGTGGGTTCTGTGTTCACCTA